ATATAAACTTATAAGTGTGTGACCCTTTAGCAGATATATTATTTTATACCATGTGGATTATTAAGTGGATATATTTTATTTATGCTAATTGTTAAGCAAAAGGCTCACGAAGAAAAAAAAAAAAAATAATAAAAAAATACGTACATACATAGATACACAAATACATAATATATATACCTATACGTACACAATAAATATATACACAGAGTATACATACATGTAAATTACACTTGCACACTTAGTAGAATATCGAACCATTATACTTATAGTTGTGCATTGTCCCCACGTGAGTAACCAGAATGCAACCCCCCACCTATTCATTTAGAACCATTCGACAAAGCAGATTGAGCAGTTATAAAAAGCATATTTGAGAGATACATATATATATATATATATTTTAATCATGTGAATCACTGTGCCACAGTTTGCAAAAAAAAAAAAAAAAAAAAAAAAAGGAACGTAGAGCTTTTGTTTATGAACGAAGCAAAGATTCCCACCCCTACTCCTGTGTAGTGCATACATGTATATTTAGTGCACATTTTTATTTTTACTATTTAAATGTTTCATTTTTTTTAAAAAAAAACGGATAAAGCGTTGACAAGCTTTTATCTAAGAACAGCGGCTGTACAAGTTTATGTGCATCGCCAAGATAAAAAGAAAAGAGAGTCGATATAAAAAAAAAAAAAAAAAAAAAACCTTTTACATGAGCGTTTCATTTGCGACTATCAAATATCCGCATCGGCTTTGCTGCATTCACATTTGTTTGTTTCATTTCGTTTATACAGTGCAAGTTTACCTGCACGCGAGTGTGCTCTTTCCCCTTTTTGTGCAGGAGGAAAAGCGCAGGTGTTAGGGTTTTGTTTTTTATACCCTTAGCAGTTGTGCAACTTGCAGTGAGAGGAGCGCGCTGTTCCATTTTTGTTTTTTTTACTACTCCCAAACAAAAGTGTATTTGCGTGAATAAAAATATAAATAAGGCAGGAAGTTTTATGTCACCAGCCTTTGGGTGCTACGCAAAAGCCCGAATCTAATACCTTACATGGGGTGATGATACACTTTACATATGCATGCACATTTATTACTTATAATGTTGTGTGTCTACCTACACACAGGTGTGATAAGTGACTCCACGAGATAAGTACGCATACCCTCAAGTGCACGCGTGCGCGTTGTATGTGTGTGTACCTCTTTCATGAGTTTTAACACAAACACCTTCATATTATTTACAATTTTTTTTTTTTTTTCCCCTCCCTTTCGCCCCTTTGTTTTTAAATAAATTTTAATAATTAAACTTTAATAATTAACTTATTTTTGAAGACGACACACGAAGGGCGTGGATGTACAAAAATAAACGTTGCGTGGAAGATCGTTGCAAGATCGTTACAACTGCAGCACGGTTGCAAACATATATCTCTACATTCAACTGTGGAAATATACCTCAACACACGTGGATCCATTTTGAAGACGAGAAGACGCGACCAGTACGCGATCAGACGCGAGCGCACATTTTTTTTTTTTTTAATGTGAAGATTGAGGCCACATTTGTGCAAAATTTGTTTCCCCCCTTTTTATCCTCTGTTTTTGTTTTATTGTTAAACCCCAAGCGTGTGCACATCGCATTCGCATACACCACGCCCTATCCCATCTGCGAAGAAATCAGTTGACGACCCACGTTTCCTTCAATATCGTTACATATTTTTATTGTACGCGCAAACGAGCGCTCTGCAAATCGCTATCGCTACGGCAGTGGACGCTTGAAACGGGAAAGACTAGCTAAAAGGAAAAAACTAGCTAAACGGGAAAAAACTAGCTAAAACGGAAAAAAAAAAAAAAAAAACAGCCCAACGCACCATGGTGGACTTGTACAAGAAGCCCAAGAACATCTCCATTGGGATGTACTACACCAAGGACTACATTGGCAGACGCAGAAGTAACAACTACTACTATGGGTACAGCCATAAGTACGGAGGGTACTACAACTACTACAATAAGCTGCACAATCATAAGAAGGGTTACTACTACGAGTCGCAGCAGGGGGAGACGCACAAGGAGAAGCTGAAGGAGGAGAATGGGGATATTGTTCCCGTAAGCGACCCCCCAAAGGATGCCAATGGGTCAGACAAAACTGAAAGCAAAAACAGAAAAGCTGAGAAGGAAACGGAAAAGGACGATGAGGTGGCAGGTAGAGACAAGAAAAAGGAAACCAGTAGAAAAAAGTGCGTCATAAAAATACTTAAAAGACCAACCGAGGCAGTGAGTAAAGAAGAAGGAAAGAGAAAGAGCCTCATGGGAGGCGAGAAGGGCTCATTGGAGGAAACGCAAAAAAAGAAGAAAAAGGAAAAGGAAAAGACAAAGGAGAATGGAAGTGAAGACGCCAAAGAATGCGTTGAACAAAAGAGCAAAAAGAAAAAAAAGGAACGCGAAGGTACTTCTACCCGTAAGAGCAAAAAGGTAAAGGACGGATTCAAATTTACGTCCACGCAAGAACTGTTTAATTTGCTCCTGAAGGATGTTAAGAATAACTCCCCTGATGAGGAAGAGGAGGAGGATGATTATGATGAGGATGAGATGGCGAAGCAGGCGGGAGAGAAGAAAGGCGCCACGAGCGCAGCGGGCCTGAAGGATACTCACCCCGGCCGTAATGATCATGTGGCTGAGCAGAATAATTATGGGGAGGACAAAATTACAAATAAAAATGAACAACAAGGCAAGAGCATTATTATTAAGGGCAAGGAAGGAAACCACAGTAGTGATGTACCAAAGATGAGTGATAAAATAATCGAAGCAAAGGATAAAGGTACAAATGAGTGTAGAAAAAACAGCGCTGCACAAATGACCAAAGCTACAGAAGGAGGAGGGGTCAGTGCAAATGGTAAAGAAAGCATCATTACGTTAAAGGGAAAAAAGGGAGTTACTGGTGGAAGTAATAAGTACAACTACCAAATAAACATCGGAAGCAATATAAGCAGGGGAAGAAAAATTAAAAAAATAATTAAGAATTTTGAAAATGGAAAATATTATTATACTGGAAGCAGGAAGGATCTAGCTGCTGGTGCTGCTAACGGCTTTGGAGGAGCAGGGTATTATTTGAAATACGCCACGTCCAAGTATCCTAATTTTACCACCAGCTGTAGTTTTCTGAGCCACTCGTCGAAGATGGGGTTGTGCAAGCACAAGAGTTTGAATAGCAGATTGGTTAACAATTTGAGCGGTGGTGCTGGTGGTGGCGGCGCCATGGGTGCCGGCCAAAGGAATGAAGAGGGTAGGAGATCTGGCAAGAAGGAGGAGGAAGAAGGTTTTTTCGCCGTCCCCATATATATGAGATCCCCCAAGCCGGAGCAGATCCCCATACCGGTGTACCTGTCGGAGGTGAATGACCAGGCGGGAGTGCGCGTGGCGGCCATCGAAGCGACTCCAGAAACGGCGGACGCCAAGGCGAACATCAAGGAGAGTGTCAATGTGGATGGCAAAGAGACTGCCGACGCGGCGAACGTGCAGAGTAGGAAGACCAAAAGCAAAGGCCAATCGCAAAACGTAAAAACAGCACCGAATGGAAATGTGCATAATATTAAGGACAGCCAAAACGTTGCAAACTTTACCAAGAAAAATGTAGAAAAAAAAAAAAATAAAAATAAAAGTTTTGTAAGCAAAAACTACATGGCCTTTAATCAGGAACAGAACCATTCGAACAAACATGGTTACGATTTTGTGAACACAGGAAATGTGAAGAATAGCAAAGTGTATAACGTGCACGCGTTGCACTCGTCCTATGTGAAGGCCGCCAACTACAACAACGGATGCAACGTACATGGGACCGGAAAAAATTTGAGAATGGAAAAATATTTTCATAACAAAAAGTACTACAAGGTTAAGGCGTACCTGAGCGACAACAACCACAGGAGTAAAAATTTGAACCCCCTCAAGGAGGTCAAGATTGCTGTGTATTGATGGGGGTGAAGCGGCCAGGAGAGTGGCCAGAACAGCATCGACAGGAGCAGCATATATTTGCCCAACACACTGACTTACCCCGTTAAAAGCGTTAACCATGAAAATAGGAACGAAGACAAAATGCCCATTGGTGCAGGTGCGCAGGTGCAGCGTTGAAGAAGAGGAGACGTGTCCATGGATTCGCGACGAAGGCAGCATTGGCAGGGACGACGCGTCCTCCATTGTTCCAAATTATTGTCCCAATTATAATTCCAATACTAATAATCTGTATATGTGCCATGTTTTTCCATGCTGCTAACTTTTTTTTTCCTTTTTTACATTTTGTTTATGCTCTTTACGCCGCGCCCTGCGCACCTGAAAAAGACTTAATCGAAAAGAAAGACACCTATTAAAAAAACAGCGTACGCGCACCGCGTCGAAACAAGCGAAATTATACGGAACAAAATACACTGGGGTGGAATAGCCTCCCAAGTGAAGCAAGTAACAATAGTACTATTTATAACATATGCGTGTGTGTGCGTTTGCGCAACGTGTTTCTAAGTTGGCAAAAGAAAAAAAAAAAAAAAAAAAAGGTTACATATATACACGTAACGATGGTGCAGTGACGACTTTTCATAGTTTCCCTAGGCACTTCTTTCACCGCGCCCATGTTGGGAGTTTTTTTTGTGTCTACTTTCCCTGCATGGGTCTCGCGCGGGAGGTAGTAATGTCCAGGATTTTCTGCACATTATTTATGTACTTTGTAATTTGTGCGTTAAGGATTTCCCAGTGGGCCTCATCAAAGTGCCTCAAAATGGTTGTCTTCATTTGAACGCTTTTATTAATCTGGTCGATTTTAGCATCGATGACTCCACTACCAATGGCGGCCACAAGAATTTTTTCAATTTTCAAAGCACTGATGTTTAGTTTTTCTGAAATGTATTGAATGTTTTGTACCTTGGTGTCTTTAAAAAGGGAGATGATGGAGAGAAGGTAAATTTTATTTTCTGCAACTTCAAGGTCGATATTATACTTGGTGAATAAATCCGCGCCATAATTATTTTTAAAGGCTAAAAATTCATGTATACTGTATTGGTAAAATATATTTAGTAAATGAAAAATGGGTTGATGTTCTTCAATGTTTTGTAAATTCTGAACAGCATCTAGGGTTAACAATTGGTGGAAGTAAATATTATTATTTAGGTTAATAGCATCTGCAATAAGTTCGATGGCAGCATTGACGGTGGTTGGATGATTCAATACTTCAGGTGCTTCCTTTTGAAAATAATACACATGTTTATTTAAATGTTTAAAAGACTCTTCATACTTTTTCAATTTCTTAAGTTCTTGAGCGATGATTAAATAAATTTGTCTCTTTTCTCTGGAGCTGATATTCCACTCCTTAATCCACTCGTCGATGAATTTTATGTAGGGAAGCATAAAATGGAAAATATTATTTTGTGAGGAAAATTGTAAAATGGCAATGAAGGTAGGAAACCTAAACGAGAAATTCACACTGAATGAGTTATACAAGAGCTGCAAAATTTTTAATCTCAACTCGGGGAACACATTAAAATTCTTAATGGCCATGATGAAATTGTTCGTAGCATTGTTCAAATCTTCAACTGTTTTAAATTCGAGCTGCAAAATGGAGATCAGGATAACAAAGTATTCTTCCACCTCCCTATAAAATTCATTATAAGATTTTACAATTTCCTTATTATCAATTATAACTTTTATTTTGTTGCTTTTCTTTGTCTCCACTAGGGTTTCAAATACCAAGTCGCTGGCCGACAAGAGCAGAGAGAATATTTCCGAACGGTTGTTGCTCTCTGCATCCTTGTCCTGCTTTTGGTAAATGTTCAGAAACTTTTTAAAGAACACTTCGTACTCTTGAATATTTTTCTGCTTCAGGATTCCCAAGATCCAGTCCCCGATCGTCACGGCCGTCACCGTACCCGACAGGTCGTGCGTCAGCTGGATGTACACCGACATGGCGGATCAGCGGCGATTAGCGGCGATTAGCGGCGATTAGCGGCGATTAGCGGCGTTACAAATGAGTAGCCTTACGGGCTGTGCCAAAACTTCCGTGGTGAACCCTACAAGCAACTGCTTTTATCTGCAAAAAAAAAGTATCACCACTGCGCCTCCTCTCCGCGACGATGTCAGGATGTGGCAACGACGTAAAGAATATAAATAAACTGCTCAGCGTTGTTTTGTGGTTGAGATAGGCCTTCCTATTTTATTTAAAACAACTCCAGATCATACAACTTCTTCATTTCTTGTCACCTGTTGAAACGTATTTACCAAACACTTCTTTTGTACATTATTCCCTCGCGCTTGGGTTGCCTTTTGCTTCTATGTAAAACGTATGCGCTATGCGATTTTTACTGTGACTTCAATTTGTGCCTATATGTCCCTGTGCTGCGATATATAATCAACGCTTTTTTTTTTTTTTTTTTTTTTTTTTTTTTTTTTTTACTAGAATTGATCCTACACAGGGTTGGAAAGAAATGCGCCTCTATTCTTTTCTTTCAAAAAAAAAAAAAAAAGGGCCCTCTGTATATTTCATTTTTTTTCCGACTTAGTTTTCCCCTGCCTTAGCAGCATATATATCACATCTTCCCCACGTTTCAAACCTTTTCGCCTTTGCGAAATTGGTGCAGTGGAGGTAATATTGAAAAAGTAGCGGGGCGCCCCTGACGCGTGCTGGGGGCAAGGCGAAAAATAGGGCGAGCAAGCACCCCATCATATGTATATATGCTTACGCATCACCAGTGCATACATATAAGCGCCACAAAATTTTACTCCATACATTTTATAATGACTGCAAATTTGGCTATGCTGTTTTTGCCAAGGGGTGCGAAGTCGGCATGAAGAGGCAAGTCTGGCCCCTCCTCTTCCCACCCCCACCATTCTTGATCTCCGTACACCAAGGCGTACTTTTTTTTTTTTTTTTTTTTTTTTTTTT